AATGCTTGTCACTCAGCCAGCCATTGACAAGTCTGGTGGTTCTTGAGCCTGTATTCTTTCCAAGATACGGTATTGCTTTTGTATGTTTTTGTATTCCAAGGTCCTACCATGTTGCCTTTGCAAACTGTAAATGCTCCAAATATGATTTGATGCGAGGGTAACTGACTTAATCCCAGTGAAATCCTGGTAAGAACTGTCAGGGTCCTTGCCTGGCATGCCCTTTGCCCTATTTAGGTGGAGTTTTAGTTTTGTAGGTAGAGATGGAGAATAGGCACTCCTAGGGCAAAACCCGTGGTTTTTGCTGTTTGGTTCTCCTTAGGTAGTGGTTCCAATTTAAGTATCTAACTGGATCAGTAGTCATACAGACAGGAGGGAAACGATTGGTTGCATTTGTGTGTCACAGGAAAGGAAGCTGAGTATATAGAGAAGTGTATGATAGACCGTGATGCTTGTGCTGCCTGAAATTGGAAATGGGGATCTGTATGTGGGGAACAGAAGATCGTTTTTCAATGAACACACATTGATTGACTGCCTAGCCGCAGGGCAGCCATGTGTGCTTGGAGTCAGAGAAGATATCCAGAGGACGTCTGTACCCTCGAGGAATTTAAATTAAAATTGGGAAGGGGCCTGATTGTACACACAGATGGATAAATAGAGCCAAAGGCAGCATATGAAGAGGGCCCAATGAGGGGTAGGTGTCCTGGAGTTGTTGGGAACTGAAGAGAGGCCTGAGTGTGCAGCATTTCAGGATGCAGCGCCCAGCATGGTTATGGAGTCTGGCTTCGGAGCACATGGGTAGTTGGGTCTGTTTCTTACAGGATAATAGATCATTTAGTCCGTTTCTCTGCTCCTAGGCATATGCTCTGGGTTTGGGAAAAACTCAGGTGCTTGTTGGAAAGTCTTTATTAGTGTTCTATTAGGCTCTATTATTTATTGATGAGGGTAGTAATATCCAGGTCCCTGAACCCTTATCCAAAACCCTTGGGGCAAGACATGTTTCAGAATTTAGATTATGTCAGAATTTGGAAGGCAGTAATAGAGTACACATTCTGCATTTCATCCAGTGGGATCTGGGGTAGCAATCTTTATGATTTAAAATATTTCTGCCGCAAAACACAAAAAATGGAATAAATTAAAGAGTAGGCAGCTTTATATTCATGTTGGTCAGGTTTAGTTGCCAAATGAGTTCTGGTCATGTCACATTGTGCCACCAAACGAGTCATGAAAAATTTCCAGTTTTCAGAGCACGTGGTTAAGGATGTAGATATATGGTAATAGTAACAATAATGAGAACAACAGAGACTATTCAACAATATTGGCATTTATTATCTGCCAGGCACTGTTTTAAGCACTTTTCTGTGTTTACTCCTTTAATCTTATAACACTCCTTTGAGATGGGTCCAGTTATATTATATCTTTCTTGAGAAGAATAAAAGGAAGCACAGAGAAGCTAATAACTTGCCTAAGGTCACAGCTGGCAGGGGCAGAACACGATGCAACCCTAGGTGGTCAGGTCCAGGAGCTCATACCGAACCACTATGCTTTGCTTTTTGGAGCAGGGAATTGGAAGCAGGTGTGTCTCCAAACTCAACTAGAGTCAGACCAGTCCAAACTCACATGACCCTGTTTATTTCTTCTAGATAAACGAATCCTGAAAGGTGCCATTGTGCTCCTGCTGCGCAAGAATGGAGGCCCCACTGGTGAGTTTGGATGAAGAGTTTGAGGACCTTCGGCCCAGCTGCTCCGAGGACCCGGAGGAGAAGCCACAGTGTTTCTATGGCTCGTCCCCCCACCACCTAGAGGACCCCTCCCTCTCTGAGCTTGAGAATTTTTCATCTGAAATAATCAGCTTCAAGTCCATGGAGGACCTCGTGAATGAATTTGATGAGAAGCTCAATGTCTGCTTTCGGAACTACAACGCCAAGACGGAGAACCTAGCTCCCGTGAAGAACCAGTTACAGATCCAAGAGGAGGAGGAGACCCTTCAAGATGAGGAGTAAGAAGTCTTAATTGCCCTCTCCTGCTTCAGTCAAGAACCCTGTAGTGTGGGGCTCCTTGACACAGTGCTGGTTTCTGTCTCTAGGATTATGGCATGTTGCTTACATTTTTATATCATCAGTGAGTCAGTGCTCTGGTAATTGCTGACATTGTTCTGTATGTCCCTTTACGGTCACTTGCACAGAGCTTTCTTAAATTGAAACCTTAGAGGAATGAAGGATTTTAGATTTTCCTAGATACAAAATAGAATTTCAGGATCATGGTAAATTTTAGAGTCTGTCTATCTTCGGCTTTCTTCATGTCAGTGAAAATCCACCCAGATATTAGAAATAAGAACCAGAAAGAAATTAATTAACTGTGATGAAGGAATCTATGTCATTGGACAAATTTGCTTCAAGAAACCCCAGAATTATGAAAATCTCAGAATTGTTTACAACCCCTCAGGCCTGGAAAGTTAACTATAAATGTTAAGATATGTTCAAATAAGAAAGCACCTATACCGAACTGAGAGCTTAGGGAACTACCTTGGACAAAATAAAGGAAAACTAGGTGATGTGGCTTTTGAGTATGCAAATTCCTTATGTCACTTACTAGCTACTTTCTAGGGTCTTAGTGAAGAAGAAGGATCTTAGAAAAGTACTATTGGAGGAGGGACTAGAAAGAGAAGAAGCAGGTGATATGGTATATAAATTAAAGAAGGATGTTTTGGGCAGTTAGTAAAAACACAGTAGTCCCCCACCACTTATCCGTGGGGGATACATTACAAGACCCCCAGTGGATGCCTGAAACTGCTGATAGTACTGATGTTTTTTCCTATACATACATACATATGATAAAGTTTAATTTATAAATTAGGCACAGTAAGAGACTAACAACAATAACTTATAATAAAATAGAGCAATTATAACAATATACTGTAATAAACGTTATGTGAACGTGTTCTCTCTCTTTCTCTCTCTCTTTCAAAATATCTTATTGTACTGTATCTCGGGTATCTGAAACCTTGGAAAGCAAAACCACAGATAAGGCAGGACTGCTGTATGCATGAATTCCCTGTAGAGATAAAATACGCATCACTTGTTCTTTAAGAATCACATAAGAAATGTTAAATAGTTGGTCATGGAAGTTTGGAGCAACTGTCCTTTTGGTTTCCCTTTTTATGAACTTAGGTGGAAGAGTTGCCCATAGATAATGGGGTAAGAAGCATGACCTAGAGAATTTGAACCTGACTGTATTTGGGAGAGAGTTGCTTATTTGATGACCACTAAGTCTGTACCTCTGTGAATACAGGGGTCATATATTATACCCGTCTGTCTTATTCATTTGTATATCCCCACTGTCTAATACAGTGCTTGCTGTGCAATATGTGACCAAATATTTTTGAATGAAATATTGAATATTGAATGGACTGGATGAGCAATAATAGCTAGCTTTGTAAGTACATGAAATGTATTTCTAGGCCCACGCCATTTCCTTCTTTTCTTTTTAATTAATGCTT